TTAGTATTGGCGCGGTGTCCACACATCGTCATGGAATGCTTGGTGTGTCTAATGAGCTATAACCTTAAATGCTAGCCTAAGTAAAACTGAAAAGAGTTATCTTTAAAAATCCGAATTCATTTAACCCTGATACTGTGCTAGTTCTCTAAGTATGTATAAATCGCTCTTTAGTCAATTTTCGCTTGTCTATGACCATAACGTTTCTTAAAAAAGTTGTAGTCCCTGGGAATTCTAAGATATCTTTTTATCTCGCATACATATTTTTTTCCTCCTCCTCACGGTAGGCTAGTCGCTGGAATTGAAGGCTTGAAGTAATGTATATGCTAACCATGCGGTTTGTAAATGAAAACTTGTATTCTGCCTGCCTTACGTCTCAAAAAATATTTATTTGTTTTTATGTGAGTAGTCATATGCACAAGTCGATAACCTAAATAGGGTTAGCAGCTACCATTTTGGTTTTATATGAAAGACCAGCTGTAGCCCGCAAACTTCGTTACCGCAAATTTGAACCACCCGTTCAGTGCGCCACTTAGTGAAAGTCCCGTCGAAATCGGCCCAGCCGTTTTAAAGTTGTAGTGTTCATATCTATTGTACGTTTTTATACGCATTCTATAACGGCAGCTGCCACGCCCTAACTTGTGACAGTCAAAATGGCGGGTGTACCATCGCGAATTAAATTATACCACTTAAACGAACGTATTGAGGTCAATATAGCGGGTGTAATCGTTCTAGAGAAGGTACAATTTTTTTTTAGCGAGGTACTAAATAGTATATTTTAGGTACATTTTTTTAGTAAGTGGTATAATTTAATTCGCAATGGTACGACCCGCCATCTTGACTTTCACCCTATCTTCCTTTTGCGACGTCCATGTTAATATTTTCCACAACATTGAAAACTAGATTAGCTTATATTTTTTTTAATTAGCAGGCTGACCTCTGATCGTAATTTAACTGCATTCATTAAAAATTAATTGCCAGCTATTTCATAGAACTCTTATTGTAAAAATAAATTAGTGACATAATTTTTTTAAATATCACATTACAAGTCCTAAAAAGTGTATGGAAAAAATCTATACTTTCAACTTTATTTATCCTGGAAATAAAAAACTTATTATACATTAAAAACCAATAAACAATAATAGATTCGTCGAAAAATACCAAGCCAAAGGCTTCTCACCGTTCAATATATATTTAGCTACGATAAGTCATAAGAGAATTAAATTTTGTCCATTTTAGACCGAATATCGCGTAGGACTGTTACTATTGAAACATCACTGCAACTGC